AGATATTTTTGCAAATAAAAACAGTATGTTATGTTAATATGCTAATATTTATAAAATTATTATATTTATGTAATAAAATATTATTCTGACCGTATCTAGTGCAATTTTCTCCAAACCAATTACTTTATTTCACTTGTTTGGTAGTAGTGGTGGCCAGTCAACGGGCCAAGGCCCAGTCCGGCCCGCCGGGCCACGGGCCCTCCAACACACGGCCTGCGACCGACCTGCTAAGAACCAAGGGTCGGTTCTATGAACCGGCCCAAACTGTCGGTTCACCGATCCAGCGGTTCAAGGGTCGGCTCACAGGCCGGGACGGATCTTAAAAAAACAAAAAAAACTTAACAATGTGGCCCGCCGTCCGACCCGGCTCGGTCAGGACCGACGGGACCAAAATACAAAAAAAGAAAACCGGGATCGAACCGCGACCCTACGGGTCAGGTTCAACGAACCAGTCTTAGAGTTCCCGGTTCGGGCCGGGCCGGTGCCGGTTCGCGGGTCGGTTCGACCCGTGGACATGTCTATTGTTTGGACATAAATTGTCCAAATGTCGTTGCCATTTTATCTATTTTCGAAGATAATAATAATAATAATAATAATAATAATGATAATAATAATAATAATAACAAAATAGATGTTTAGTACTTAGTAAACCTTTTTTTGATAGTCCCTGTATGTATACTTTCAATTTGAAATTACGTACCTCAAATCAATAAACAATACATATAAAAGTATAAAATTCCATATCATATTAATACAGATTTTATTAGAAAAATATGATAAGTCGGGCTGAACTAATGTTTAAACCAGCTCATATAAGTACTTGTGTTATTACTTAATTAATAATAATTATATTGAGTAAACCAGTTACTTAACCTTAATTAATAATTTCAATTTTTTCCATTGAAGGGTGGTACAAACAAAGCTTTAAAATCAGTCATTGTTTATCACATCAGCGTTATTTCTGGTCTATCTTTTTTTTTTTTTTTGTACAAAAAAAGAAGGCCAAAGGCCTAAGACTATTGCATTAAAATCCTTCGAGGGTAAGCCATCCCATGAATGTCATGATCAAGCCAAGTTCCCATCCCCGAGGGGGACGATGTCATACGATGCATACCCAACATGGATTATTATGTGACACTGAAAGGATTATTATGTGGTAGCTCAAAATTTAATTGCAATAATTTCTCCTACACACTTGTTACCATCGTAAATCTAATTTTATTAAGTTCATGATTTTAATTTTTGTACTTCAATTTTTTTTCTTGGGAGCCTACTTGTTTCAGATTTACGGAGGAATGCTATAGGTACATAATATTGTACATAAAGAGTGTACATAAAACTCACATTTAGTGGGACCTACCAAAATTAAAAATCAAGTGGACCCCACTCTATGTGAGTGTTATGTACACATCAATGTACATTTATTATGTACAATAACATTCACATTTAGTTGCTTACCAATACACCCCTACCAAACAAAAGATAGGACAACAAAGTAAGTTGCTTAACAATCACATACCAAACCAAAGACGCTAGAATGTCTAATAAAAAATAGTACCTTTTTAGTATATATGAAATTTCACCCTGTAATTGCATTTTTATTCAAAAAGTATAAAGAAACATCCCGTCTAACCGTTAAGCTACCTATCACAATTATTTTTTGTAAGAAAGAAAAAATGAATTATTTACAACAACAACAACAAAGTTTTTTAGTCTCAAGTAAATTGAGATAGACTAGAGATGAAACCCAAGTGAAACAATGGTATAAGAAACACAAAAATAGTATTCACAACAACTTCATTCAATTTTTTTTATTCTTTTTTTTAAGAGCAATATTATCAAGAAAACTAGTAAAATTCTAAAATATGACCACCGTTTATGTGACATGACACATTAGTGATGTTAATATGTTTATTAAGAAAACTAGTCAAATTCTAGAATACGTCGGGCTTTTCAGTTTTCACACTAGGCGTGTTCTTACTTTTTACCATGACGGTGCCAATAGTTGGACTTAGTCCCACTTGGTCTGGCATAATTCTGAAGGTAGTTGAAAAGAGATCATAAAGCCCAAAACCTTTGCATTCTTCCAATTTATACCATTTTAATATATATGTGAATAAAATAACAGAAGAGGACAAAAATGCTAGCAAAAAAAAGCGACTGCAGAATGGAATTTGAGACAAGTCAATAGGTTTCATACTCACACGTATATATGCTTTAATATAGATAGCCAAATGGCTCATATAGCACATTGGTGTTTAATATCACAAACACACACACACACACATGTAAAACAGATATGTGAAACAGATACAGTTCAAATGCAAACATCACTCATGAGGAATTTAATCAGACCTTGCTAGCAAAGGCAAGACCCTCCTTAGCTAGCTGATCCAAACTGTCGACAGTGGGCTGGGCCCGTGCAACTTTCGCTATAGCCTTGTTTTCTTCGGGAGTGCCACTCTCGAGAAAAGCACCGACAACCTTACCGTCTTTGATCCAGTAAGTCCCGAATTTGTGGCTAGAAGATGCCGGGTCGTTATCTCCAAACAGAACGGTGTCCCCTACATTGTCACCGTAGAACTGCCATGACAAGTCAAACGCTCGGGAGTAGAAGTACGGGAGGTAGTCATACTCGTCGATGGATGTTTTTTGTTCGCTGGCGAAAATTGCCTGGAAAATAAATGCAATTTTGGTAAATGCAAATAAATGGAGCTTGATTCGATGTTAGCAATTGGAGTCATAGATCAACATTTACATCCTGAGTTATATATAACTAGTATAGTCCCGGAAAAGAGAATTTTTTACATATGAGAAGGCATAAAAATAAAAGTACCTTAACGGCCTGTTCAGCTGATTTCCGCGCATGATCGACATGTTCAACTCTTCTGATCTCGTTGAACAACTTCAAGGGGAATGTAGCAACGTCACCCACAGCATATACATCGGGGACACTTGTTTTGAAGAAGGCATCAGTCTGCAAATTTTGAAGGCCATGGGATAAATAAACATTTATTTCCCATTCGTATTTCTGAATTATATAAACACAGAACCAAAAACTGCTCTGTTTAAGAACTAAGATACATATTTTATCCAAGGGTTGGGCCCTCTGGCTAAATTTTCTATCTTGAAAGTTTGGAGCATATTTTTGAGCAAAATATAATTCCCAAATAAGAATTTGATGTTTCAGTCTTGACAAAACACGCATTCCGATTGAAACATTTTCATCATCAAATCTCTTTGGTGATAATTGTGGAGTTACAAGATAAACAAAGAAAACGGTTTTAGGAATGAGAGAAAAAGACAATTTAATTAACACACCTTGATGCCACCCTTTTCCTCTTCAACCTGACCCTTGAATAGAGTTGTGAGGGGCCTTCCACCGACACCAACAACAACAATATCAGCTTCTAGAACCCTACCATCCTTAAGTTTTACATTCGTAACCTGAAAACGTGGATAAATAACAGTCGCATGTTACTTTATGAAGAGTGTCATCACAACACAACTGATCAAGAAATGTTAAGTCGCATATAATTGAGAAGTGAGAACTAACCTCCCCATTTTCGTTCGTGCCAAATCCAACGGCTACAGTGCCCTTGATGATACCAACTCCCTTATTCGCATAATAACCTTCATAGAAGGCAGCTATGCCGGCAGTGAATAGCCTAGGCACTGTACAATAAAATATTTATATATTTTTATGTAAAGTCAAATGACTGCCAAAGACTCGAACAACACAATTCTAAGATTAACCAACTGAAAGAGAATATGTTAACTGGAACAAAGTGGTAGAGTTGACTTACTGCACCAAGGTTCAGGATAAACCATGCTGACATCAATGTTGTTAATTCTCAAAGCAGCACTTAGTTCCAGACCAATGTATCCCCCACCAACAATCACAGCTTTTCCATTTTTCTTTGTCTTGATTGCTTCAACAAGTTTATCAGCATCATCAATTTCTCTCAAATAAAAGATGTTTTTGGCATCAGCGCCTTGCACACCAAAGTCCGTCAATTTGATAACCTGGACAAAGCAATACATATAATCAAAAACAGGCCCACTACCCAAAAATAAAACAACACAAGCTAAAAATAAATCAAATCAAACATAAATATTAAAAATCAAATATAATTATGACAAATTCCAATGAACATGTCACTTAACGGTAGAACCAGTTGCTATGATCAGAATCTGATATTCAAAAGTTTCTCCGGCCGCACTGATAAGTGTCTTTGAAGAAAGATCGGCTTTCACTATTTCTGTGCTCAGGATCAGAGATATCCCTGTAATATAACAAGATAGGGGCTAATGTGAGATTGTTTCAGTCTTCCATTATAATCTGAGATGAGCAAAAATACTTATGCATTTCGTCACAAAATAACAGGATTAGCTAATGTTGGCAGATATATGATTAAGAAAATGTATTACCTTTCTCAGTGTACCATTCTGGAAGTAGCCTCTCTCCTCCACTTCCTACGCAAACATGGAAACCAGGAAGCCTAGCAGTTCCTGAAGACAATATTATGTACAATAAATTCAGCTTGTTGTGAAATGGATCTGACAAAAGGATATGCATGGAATGGTATAGAATATAGATGAGAGTAAGCAAATGTTGACAAGGAAACCATATTAGTGGATACTGAGACGTCAACAAGGCATTGTGATGCCATACTTCATTATACATTATTCAAAAACAAAAAGGTAATATAACGTTTGTGATCTGTGATGTGCCCATGGTCAAGCAAATGTCTCCGGGGACAGGTGCTCTTTCCCCTTATAAATGGATTTGATCCCGAAAACAACATCTTTAGCAGTTTTTATAGAGAGAAAAACAGATTTTGCCATAGCACCAGCTTCACTTTGTAATTCACTAGAAAACTGAAGGTAACTACCAACTCACCCTCAGGAAATAGGTAAGCCTTGCTAAGTGCAGGACGTTCATAAGGAGCCACCTGGAACAATCAATAAGCTGGGGCACCATCAATATATATATACGTATAAATAAATAAAAAGACACACTTCAATGCAAGGGAACAAAGATAATCCAGTGTTCATGACTAATATGCACAGAAAGCATGGCAGCTAAGAAACTAACACAAGGAAACCAAGAAAAGTTCGCAAGGAATAAGGTGGAAAAAATTGTTTCAGGAAGATTAATATTTCCTATTTTTCTGAAGCGCGTTTGAATTGAGAAATAGAGTGAGAAATAACATCAAGTTGTTGTCCTTTAGCTGATATGTACAATATTATCTAAATATATTTACTACTATATGCAATTTATCTTTGTTTTCCAAGCATGTTTTGTTTCATTCAATTATAAACCGAAGTTGTTCAGAAACACAAGAAACACCAGTTTAAGCTGGATTGTTCATCCTTACTCATTACTGCGATCACATTTTTGACTCTCAAGAGAAGGGAATCTAACATCATATAAAAATCCCTGCAAATAAAACTCTTCATTTCTTGCTTAATACTCAATTACTACTATGCTGCCGCAGATACAAGTGTAATCTACTCTATGACCAGATTATCTATACAATCTATTGGTTGACAACAAGTGGCACCAAATGTATCATGCTCATTACCAAGGGCCACTGACAAACATATTCAAGAAACAAAAGTGTCATAACACATAATGAACTCAATGAGAAAAAAATAAAATAAAAAATAAAAAACTCAATAGTTTTTGTTTTATACCGCTTCTTTGGATATGATAGCCAGTTCACCAGGCTTGACTCCCTGCTTGGCAAACTCCCTAGCAGCATATCCCTGCAACGATGAACAAATTCAGGTTACATATTGCTACTTTCAACTGTGTGCACCACCGGTCGATATTTTCACTCATTTCCAAGATATATTTAAAAACAAAAGGAAATCCGTTGGCATATCTTATTATCACTAATTGCACCTCATTGTCGACATTCATTCAGAGTCGGAAGATCATAATCACGGATAATGAAAACAAGGCATTACATGACAAATTAAGCATTACCGAAACCACTATATGAATAATAAACACCAAAAGACATCTACACAATCACACATATTTAAATTTCCACTACATAAACACAGAAAAAAAGTAAACAAAACATATCACAATGGTCAATGTTCAACCAAAACACATTCAAACAAATGATAAAAATGCATAACAGAGCCAAATAACAATGCACAAAATCTGGAACAGCCGAGCGAGACAAAGACTATCCAAACATTCCTAGTACAGACATCATCGTATCTCGAGCAAAATCTCAATTTTCCAGCAACAAAAATCGAAATCGAAGCAGCATAAGCATCGCATAAAGTAACGGATCACGATTAAAAGAAAATGCAAACCTCAATAAACCAGATTTGAAAGCAAAAAAAGAAGCTACAATCAACAAACCAAACAACGATCATATGAACAACGGCGGATAAAAATACTCACAGCAGCTACGCCACCGCCGAGGATCACGTACTTAAATGACTTCGCCATAGAATCGATTCAGAAGCTCTCTGATTCAGAAAATTTATGAGGATCGAAAATCTGCTCGAAGCACAGAGCTGGTTGTCCTTTTTTTTTTATTTTGCTTTGGTTTTTGGAATATGGCCGATAAATGTGGGAAGATACGCAGAGAGGCTATATATGTGAATAAACCGGCGATGATTGCGACTGGTTGGGGGTTGAAGAGCTGATCAAGCCATTCTTGCGCGTACACGTGTCAAAATATCTGCCGTTCAATCTGCTGACCGCGCGGTCAGCAACTTTGAATTTGCTTGTCGAATTTGTCCCACTGCAATATTTGGTTTTGAAAAAGTGTACGTGAAACTGTTTTTATTTTATTATTATTATGTGGGGGATATATAGGTTTTTGTGAAGATGTTCATTTTTATTCATTGATTTGATAATATTGTGAATATTATTATATTATTTGGTGGTTTTGACCATTGATGTGAACTTATGTTGAAAGCTTCTAACATTGATTAATTAAGGGTAAATTAAGATGCTGAAAAGAAACAAAACCAGATGAAAGTAAACTTGAATTATTT